AGAAGATGGACGGTACAGCCCCAACAGAGAGGATATGTGTTATGAGTAAGGTTTTTCCTGCCAGTCTGGGCCCAGAGCCACGCCAGCCCCAAATAACACACAGAGACTCTGTGTTAGATATAAATTCTGTTGGTCAGTTGCTTTTTTTTTTTTTTTTTATTGGCTAGCTCTGTCTTATGTATTAACCCATTTCTATTAATCTAAGTATTTCCACGTGGTCTCATCTTACTGGAAAGTGAGGCTGGCATCTGCTCTCCCCAGTCTCTACATGTTGACTCCTCCCTACTACTTCCTCTCTCCTCCTTATTTCCTAGTCCCTCCTATCTTCCTTTCCTATTGGCCAACAGTGCTTTATTCATTAACCAATAAGAGAAACATATTTACAGAATGACACCTCCCATCATCTTACTTGTAACACTGCCATTTTGTTCCCTTCATGGGTTGGATGATGGTCACCTGGGTGATGGTAGGGACTGGCGATGGTCAGTCTTCTTTACCTGGTCTACTGATTGAAGCTTTTCCAGAAGAGCATCTTCTCGATACCCTCAAATGATGCTTTTCCAGCTCTGTGGGCATCGACTAGCGCAACAACAGCGATGCAACACAGGGTGAAATGCAACTGCACTTCTATCTGTACTGTTATTTTTTTATTGTCTACTTCTGCACAATAATCACATTTCAAATACTTATACAAAGCCACATTTCACTTTAACTAGCATCCTACTCACTATTTGGCTTTAGAATGCTATTCTGATGTGTGATTCTTGCATTATTATAGCTATGATTTTATACAAACTTTAATAACATGTTTAATATACAATTCATATAAAACCTGCCTTTTAAAATTAGTTTTGAGGGAGTTGAAGGAGGCCTCAGTGGTTAAGAGCATTTGCTCTTGCAGAGGACCCAGGTTTGGTTCCCAGTACCCATGTTGTAGCTCACAACCATCTGTAACTCCAGTCCCTGGTGATCTGATGCCCTCTTCTGACCTCCATGGGTACCAGACACATACAAGGTGCATATGTGTGCTTGCGGGCAAGACACTTCCTCACACAAACAACAGATTTTTAGAAAATACAGTTCTGTGCTGTTTAGTATATTGACAGAATTGCACAACTGTCACTGTTATCTAATTTCAGAACATTTTCATTGCCCCCCCATCCCTGCCCCAATCCTCCTATTTTCCCCATTTTCTAGCCCCGGAAGCTGCTAATTGACTTTCTGGCTCTGCAGGTGCTAGTCCTGAACATTTTAAGAGAGCATAGTCACACAAAATGGTGTTTTTTTTGTTTTGTTTTGTTTTGTTTTCACTTTTTAACTAACCTCTTTCCCTTCACATGAGTGTTGTTTTTAGATTTATGTTTAATTATGGTGTAAAAGTGTGTGTGTGTGTGTGTGTGTGTGTGTGTGTGTGTGTGTGTGTGTGTGGTCGGTTATCTGTGGAGGTTGTAAGAAGCCATTAGATCCCGCTGGAGTGACAAGACAGTTGTGAGTCATCCAACATAGGAGCTGGAAACCCAACTCAGGTCTTCTGCAAGAAAATCAAGTTCTCAGGACTGGAGAGATGTCTCAGTAATTAAGAGCACTGGCTGCTTTTCTAAAGCCACATGGTGGCTAGCAATTGTCTGTAACTCCAGTTCCATGGTATCTGATGTCCTTTTCTGGCCCTCACCAGCCACCAGGCATACACATGGGGCACAGTGGTACACTCAGGCAAACACCCATGCACATCAAATGAAAAATATTAATAATAAAATAAAAGCAACTTCTCTTAACTGCTGAGACATCTTTCCAGCTCCATCATGGTATCTACAAGACACTAGGGACTTCATTCTTTTTATTATAGTAAAATGTCATTATAAATGTTTATTCATTCATCAATTCACAAACTTTTAGATTGTTTCCAGTCTTGAGCTATTGTGAACCATGCTGCCAACAACAGAAGTTTCAAGGGCACACATTTTCATTTCCTGGGGGGGGGGGTACACATCTGTGAGTGTAATTGCTAGTCAGATGGTAACTGTTTCACATTTTTAAGAATTAAACCTCAGTTTTCTAAAATGGAACTATTTTACTGAATCATCAGTGTATGAGAGTTCCAGTTTTTTTTCACCAACCTAACAGTCCAAAAGTGATATTTCAGTGTGTGTGTGTGTGTGTGTGTGGTGTGGTGGTGGTGTGTTGGGGGACAGGATTGTAATAGTTTTACTGAGCTATAGTTCATTAATGTATGGCTCACCCTGTAACATTCACAGTTCATTTTTTGTTTGTTTGGTTTTATTTTTTCTACATTTATAAATCATGGAAGTAATCACTACAATCTGCTTTACAGCATTAACATTGCTATTCTCAAGGTGGTTTTCATTTTATTTTCTTTAGTGGGTAATAATACTGAACACATTTTCATGAGCTTATTAGACATTTGTATATTATTTTTCTTTAGAGAAAAATGTCTGTTAAAATCCTCTGCCTGTTTCTAACTGGACACTTAAATGGAGTCATAAGGGTATTTATATATTCAAATTATAAGTCCCTTATTATATATATGATATGCAAATATTTTCCATCAGTTTGCAGGCTGCCTTTTAATTTCTTTTGAGTCTTCTTTATGGAGTAGACATTTTTAACTTTAAAGCCATCTAAGCCGAGTAGAGTAAAGTGGTACATACCTGTAGTCTCTGCCTGCCAGGAAAACTGAGACATTTGAAGCCTAGGATACTAAAGCAGTCCATCGGAAGACTTACTTTTTAAAAAGATAGGCTGTTTTGGAATTCACTTTTAGACCAGGCTGACCTCAAACTCAGAGATCTGCCTGCTTCTGCCTTCCAAAGGACTGGGAATAAGGGAGTGCACCACCATGCCTGGCTGACTTTTTTTTGGGGGGGGGTGCTGGAGAGATAGATAGCTCAGTGGTTAAGAACACATACAGCTTCTAGAGGACCCAAATTCTCTTCCAGTACCCATGTCAGGTGGTTCACAACCACCTGGGACTTCAGTTCCAGGGGCTCTGATGCCCTCTGTTACCTGCAAATGCCAGCACACACACACACACACACACACACACACACACACACACACACACACACAATTTAAAACATAAAATAGAAACAGAGGGTTGGCAAGATATCTCAATGGGTTAAGGCAATTGTAAGCCTGACAACTCAAGTTGGATCACCAGGATCCACACAGTAGAAGGAGAGAAAGGACTTCTGCAATTGTCTCTGACCTTCACATGTGAGTAGTAGCACCTGAGTCCATCCTCATACACGCAGATACATGTTTTAAAACTTTAGCTGTTGTTTTGCTTTTGTGGATTTGTATATGTGTTGTGTGTGTGCTGTCTCCACCCTCACAGCATTCAGGTAGCAAACATAAGGCCATTTCCAGACTTTTTACGTGGATTCTAGGATTCCAAACTGAGGTCCTAATGCTTGCACAGCAAGCAATCTTATCACTATCCTTCCCAACCCCTATTCTGTGTTTTATTCTTCATTTTGAGACAAGGTTTCATGGCGTCCAGGCTGGTTGTAGACTTGCTATATACCTGAGGATGACCTTGAACTCCCTATCTTCTACTTCCTTTTCCCACGGACTATGACTACAGATATGTAGGACTATGTATGCCTGGCTATTTTTTTTGTTACTTGTGTTTCTGATGACATAGCTAAGACATTATTCTCTTATTCACCATCACAAAGATTTATTCCTTTGTTTTCTTCTGAGAGTTTTATAGTTTTAGAACCATGATCCATTTGGTCTTATATAGCATGAGATGATTCAAATTCATTATTTTGTAAGTTACCATCCAGTGACCCAACACCAATTCTTTTAAAAAGGCAGTTCTTTCCCCCTGGTGGCTTTAACACCCTTGTTGAAAATCGGTTGGGAAAGCTTTCTGGACACCTGGTTCCGTTCCATTAATATCTTCTCCTCCAGTATTTACCATATCCCATGCTGATCTCAAACTCACCATGTAGCTGAGGGTGACCTTAAACTTCTGATTCTCCTGCTTCCTCCTCCTGAATGGTGGAATTAAATGTGAGTATCACTGTGCCCAGTTTATGGAGGACTGAGGAATCAAATTCTCTTAGTTGCCTATGCTTTTTGATGGATTTGATAGGTTTTTATATTTTCCAGATAATTTTGGCCATTCTGAGTCTTGCATTTCTCTATATATGTTAGGAGCAACCCACACATTTCTGAAAGAATAAACAAGAGTAAGAAGAAGAAAATGAAGCTGCTTGCTGCCGCTGCTGGCATTTTGATAGAAATTGCACTGGATACATAGAAGCTTGGAGCTGTGCCAACTTAACAGTATCTAGTCATTGGATCATGAGCACAGGAAGCCTTTCTGTTTATTTTGGTCCCAATTTCTTTCAGAGAGTGTCACTGCCATCCGTATTAGCTCCACATTGCTGAGCCATTTGTCGGGGGCTGTCTTTGTGGGGCTGCAATCAGAGCCAGCCAAGGAGCCCCAGGTTCATACCTGAGTGGGGGAGTTTGGATGCCGATTGCAGCCTCTGCAAACACAGGCCCTAATAAGTGAGGTCTTATGGCTTTTCAATGTAAACATCATGTACTTCTTTTGTTAAACTTGTTCCTAGGCATCTTGTTCTTTTTTAACACCAATATAAAAATGGCTTGTTTTCTTTACTTCATTGTCTCATCATTGGTGTGGAGAGCATAGAAATACACTGAAGCCAAGTGTCATGGCATAGGCCCATAATCCTGCTTTAGAGGCTAAAGTAGGAGGATTGTGAGTTCAAGGCTAGCCTGGGCGACATAACAAGACCGTCTCAAAAACAGAACATTTAGAAAGTTCCTCTTGTTTTGTGCAGCCTTGCTTGAACTTCTTCTAGATTTTTAGTGGTTACCTTAGGCTTGTCTGTCTAGAGATCAGGTCATGTCATCTACCTTTTTTCTTATTTAGATGACTTTCATTAATTTCTTTTTTCTCATTTAATTACCCTGACTGATTGGTGTGCCTCCACATCCAGCTTTAAAATATGGAATGCTGAGTGAATGTGCATGTTATCCTTGTACAGAGGCCATGCCAATTTCTGTATTGTTCCAATTTTAGTATATGTGCTGCCAAAGGGAGCACTTGCTCCTTATTCTAAGGAAAAGACTTCAGTCTTTCACCATTAAGAACCACAGTAATATCATTGTAATAAACCACTACATAGCGATAAAATTTTTTTCAAGACAGGGTTTCTCTGTATAGCTTTGGCACCTGTCCTGGAACTTGCTCTGTAGACCAGGTTGGCCTCAAATTCACTGAGATCCACCTGCCTCTGCCTCCCAAGTGCTGGGATTAGAGGTGTGTGCCACCACTGTCTAGCTGGGATGAATTCTTTTAAGGTTTTTTTTTTATGGCAATATACACTGTCTCAGTGACAGTGAAAATACAAAGTGTATCTTCGATTAGCCAGGGTTATTAGTTGCAAGGACCAGAAACTGACCCTAATTTATTTAAGCATTAAAGGAGTTTACAAAAGAGGAACTGTTGAGGAAGATGGAGCTGCAGACTCTGAGAATGGGTAGAGCAAGAGGACCCTTACAGCAGCTAGACAGAAGTCTAAATAATGTCATAAACACAAATCAGCCAGAAAGTTCTCTGATGTCTGTTGCTTGGAAGAGGGATGACAATGGCATTGGGCTATTATACTGCAGAAACAGAAGTTGCCTCTGGGAATGGCTGTTTCTGTCATCATGACTTCCAGTGGATACCACCATTGATCCTTCTTTTTTTCTTAATTGCTGTGAATTCAAAGTTGGAAGGGCTGAGGGTGTAGCTCAGTGGACATATGCTTGTCCATGTTCCATTTCAGCACTGCCAAACAAAACAGCAGAACAACAGACTGCTGTTCAGGAATTGCAGGCACACATGCTGGCCTCCCTGCTAGCTGAATCCAGTGAGACCTTTCATGAATGTTGTATGGAATGAAGGTTGGGATTCAGTAAGACACTTCAGGTGCATTTGGTGCCTATAACTAAGAATATTCCTGTCAGCTATGATGGTAGTTAAAACCTATTTTTAAAAATGAACCGAGATTAAAAGTGTACATGTGAATTACTGCCTCACAAGTTGGTAAGCCAATATGTTTTGAAAACAGTGGATGCTTCTCAATTATAGGAAGAACAAACATTTTTAGCCTCTAAAATCTCAAGAATGTAAATGAAAAACCAGACTGGGAATATAGATCAGTGGTAGAATGCTGGCCTAGAATGTTAGAAGCCTTGGGTTTACTCCTCAGTCCTGGGGGAGGGGGAGGTGTTGTGTTCTATTTCCTTTTAATTTCATATTAGTATATACTTATCTCTGTTTTGTAATTTATATGTTTAGTTATACAGGTATATGATTTAGAAATATATAATATTTACTATGTATGTATATAATACTAGAGAGTTATGCTCATTTTTATGGATAAAGTGTGCTTCCCGGAGGATTTGGGGACTACTGCCTCAGAAGAGCTCTGAGTCTATGTGTGAGATGAGAGAGAGGGCAGAACAAAGAGCACAAGAGAATAGGGACTAGTCACTACGCTAGCAATGCATCATTCCAGGTCCACAATAAGGAGAGGCTGATTAGGGTATCCACTGCAAAGGAACAAATCCCAGGGAATGTGGTAAAGAGACAGCCATTGGCAACTAGCAGCAAATAGAGCCAAGGAATGGTGCAGGATCCACTACTGGACTGGGAAGGAGAAAAGCAATGAATTTTCTTTAACTCTGTTGAACCAAAATGCCTCTGGGAACATCCAGTAAAAGGATCTATGGTGTAGTTGAGAAAGAGAAACTGGGTGACAGCTGCCAAAAATCACTTTTTAAAGAAAGTTTAAAATCCAATCCATGTTTTACAGCTCTTCAGTACAAAGATGCTATTGTGGAATATTACTTTAACTCAGCAAGGATGTGTTACATTTGTTTATGCTGATTTGTTTAACCCGTGAGGATGTGTTACATTTGTTTCACCTTACCTGCCTAAGACACATGGCTTGTCTAACAAAAAACTGAATGGCCCGTAGCTAGACAGAAGAGAGATAGGCAGGGCAGACCAGCAGAGAGAATAAGTAGGAGAAATCTAGGCAAAGGAAGAAGAGAACAGAGAGGAGAGGAGGAGGAAGAAAAAAGGAGCGATATTCCCAGGGCCAGAAACCAGGCAGATAAACATGGAGACAGCAAAAAAGTAACACACACACACACACACACACACACACACACACACACACATACACAAAAGGTAAAAAGCCCATGACAAAATGCAGATAAAGAGAAATAGATTAAAGAGCTCAAATAAGGCTGAGCATTCATAACTAATAAGTCCATGTCATGATTTGGGAGATGTTTGGTGGCCTAAAAGAAAAAACCTAGTACAAGATGCTATCATATAGATCAGTGGTAGAATGCTGGCCTAGAATGTTAGAAGCCTTGGGTTTACTCCTCAGTCCTGGGGAGGGGGAGGTGTTGTGTTCTATTTCCTTTTAATTTCATATTAGTATATACTTATCTCTGTTTTGTAATATATATGTTTAGTTATACAGGTATATGATTTAGAAATATATAATATTTAATATGTATGTATATAATACTAGAGAGTTATGCTCATTTTTATGGATAAAGTGTGCTTCCCGGAGGATTTGGGGACTACAGTACAAGATGCTATCATAGGAAACAACAAATTTGACTTCTTAAAACATGGACACTTCTCTGGGCATGGGTGCACATGCCTTTAATCCAAGCACTTGGGAGGCAGAGGTAGGCAAATCTCTGAGTTTGAAACCTGCCTGGTTTACAGAGTGAGTTTCAAGAAAGCCAGGGCTACACAGAGAAACCCTGTCTCAAAACAAACTAGAAAAAAATTTCATTCTAATGACTGTTCATTATAATTCTTGGAAAATAAATGGGCTCCTGTGCCATGGTTACTCAGTTGAGGGCCCCATGACACTCCACCCCACTCCTTTCTGTGAGGGAAGGGAAACAGTCAATAGGCCCACTGAAAGGTTAGCACCATGCTATCACTTTGTAGCAAAACAGAGGCAGAACAATGATGCAAAGCCCCGAGCCACTAGCCCATATCTCTCTCTGGATTAAAGGTAAGACCTGAGGTGCATCTTCCATCACTTGTGAGTCAATCTCCCTTCCTCATTGCTATCTGACGTGTCCCAGGGAGTCCATGTTTTTTTGTGGTCCCAGAAGGGACTCAATATTATTGGTTTCATCTGGGCCCCTTTCCCTATTGGCCTAGCACCATGGTTACTCTAGCACCATGAAAGATGGCAGACCAACATGTCCATTTCTCCAAGACAGCACTGACAACCCTTTCTCACTACAGCCCGTTCCTTACACCTGCAGTCTCCCTCTGGGTAGCTGCCTCTGCCTGGGATAGACCTCTTGTTGTCTATAGCAGCAGCCAGGCTGCCTCTGCAGCTCTTGCTGACACCTCCACCTTTGATGTGCCACTCCCAGGGCCTGTCACACCTGCTCTAGACCTTTAGCTGTTCTCAAAGTTATCTCCATACTCCCAGGGTGGACCCCGCCCAGCAAGCATGCCACCCCATATCACCTAGACTACCATCCCTAGATCCACCCCCACCGCCCAGGTGGCCTTACTTTAGTTACATGTCTCACTATCCTCTGCATGTTTTATGTCCCTGCCACTACCCCACAAGCCCTATAGGGACAGACCACCAAGCCAAAATTTCCTCAAAATTAACCCCACTCCCTTCACACAGTGTCACTTCAGCTCTTCAGTTGTTTGTCTCATTGCCCACTCCAGGGACAATGTTCTTCCCAAGCACATCTTTGGTTTTGTCTGGTCGTAGCTATCTGCCAAGTGTTGACAGAAAAAAAAAAATCTACCCCTCTGCTGCTCTGATGGCAAACCCAGGTACACTTTCACCAACTTCACTCTGTGGAACCAAGGAATTCATTGGGTTTACTTACAAAGCAATGAGTGAGACATCACTTACAGGACTGTGGGCACTCCGCCCCCCAAAAGGCCACACTAGAATGTCTTTATATGGCAGAGGAAATGGTGTTCCCATAGCTGCCTAGACGGAGCCCCCTCCCCTAGTTCTGCTCCCCTTTATAGCCTCTAACCCCCTCCCAAGACCCCATTCTATGAACAGAATCGGGGCAGAATTGCATACAGCTGGTTGGTGGGAGCAGCTGGATACCTAGATGAGGGTCCCATGACCCAAAGTGACCTCTCCTATGAAGGAAGGCAAACAGTCAACAAGCTCAGTTAAGATGCTCTGTGGGGACACCTGGGCTTACTACTGTACAGTAGCCATCTTTTATCTTAGCCTATGTCATCACGTTCTGTGCATCTTCACAATCACATATGCTTACGAAATAAAGTCACTCATAAGGCTTTTAGTACCCAAGACCTCAACTAACAAAGGGGATCATTCCTGTGACAATGATTATCCTTACATCTATTAGATTAGTCACAGATATGAAGTGACTGAATTTCATAAGCTAAGTAAATAATCCTATAGGGCTATAGGCAGGAAACACCAGTCACTTATATTAGGAACAGGTAAAGCTGAGTTCAACCTTAATCACAGTAATAGTCCGTAGAAGAGCACAACAGGGTGATGTTTATGATCCAAAAGAGGAATTATTATTTTTATAACACATGGAACATCAAATATGCTCTATTAGCATATTTTGTTGTAGATAATAGGTTTGATAGATACATTTTCTTGATATTTTTTGTTTTTTAAATTTATTTTACATACCAACCACAGTTTCCCCTCCCTCCTCTTCTCCGGTTCCCTCCCTCCACCCCTGTTCTATGCCCCCATCTCCTTTCAGAAGGGGTAAGGTCTACCATGGAAGTCAACAAAGTTGAGGCAGGACCAAGTTCCTCCCCCATGTCAAGGCTGGGTGAGGCATCCCACCATAGGGAATAGGTTCCAAAGAGCTGGCTCATGAATCAGGGACTGGCCCTGGTCCCATTGCTAGGGGCCACACAAACAGACCAAGCTACATAACTGTCATCCATATCCAGAGGGCCTAGGTTGGTTCCATGCAGGCTCCCTAGCTGTTGGTCCTGAGTCTGGGAACTCCTACAAGCTCAGGTCAGTTGTCTCTGTG